ACATATTTGTTGATTTATTTACAGTTTTGCCACTTATTCTTATGGTTCATAATTAAAAAAAAATAAAAAAAAAACTTATGAAAGTTAAGTAAAGAATTTTGATAACATATACTAGTATATAAAAATTGGGAAGCAAATTAAATGATTACATTAAAAAAATTAAAAAAAAATTAAAAAAAAAAAAAAAAAAAACCTTGAGTTGCCTCCTAAAATAAATATTCCGTATGATTTTCAATTGTTTGTGTTTTGTTTTTATTTTTTTATAAACTATTTTATTTTTTGAGAAAAAAAAGATGTGGGCCCCTCAAAGTGGGGGCCTGAGCGATTGCTCAAAGAGCTCATGCTCAAAGAGCTCATGCTATTGAACCGGCTCTGATTACATTGGTCTCATTCATTTTAAAACAAAAGGAGTATAACTTACACACATGATTTTATTTGCATGTTGGTTTTTCTACTTTTTATCCAAAACTCTCCAAACACACAATTAATACTCAAAATCTATGCACTCCAATGTAGTCCGTATTATAAAATTTTAAAAATAAAAAACTTTTTTCCAACAACTCGTACGTATTAAAGAGTGTCTTGATTAATGAAATGTATATACTTGGTATATCACATGCATTAGGATTAGGAGTTAGAAGTAGCACGTTATATACGAGTATATATGTTGTATGGTTTAGAGAAGATTGACAATGAAGGCAAGACATTAGTGGGAGTAGCAGCTAACTAGTAACTACCACTCAATTAGTCTTCATATTTACGTTCTGCTAATCAAACTTCCTTCTCAAGGAAAGTATCGATTCATAGATATATTATGCATCTTTTCTTGTATTTTTGCTAGCTGCTTATTATTTACACCATTGATTAATTCTATTCTTAATGCCGTGAGGGTAATTTCCACCATCTTCTCTAGTTTAGGTTAACTAGCTAGTGGAATATATATTTGTATTTGTATATAATTCCTTTTATAGTATCATTAATCTTCTTATATTTAAGATATATCCATCCAAATTGTACGAGTATATAGGTAATTTAAATACAGTACAGTGCTATATCTTAATTAGGAAGTCTTCTAATTATTGCTCTATAGATAGAATGAGTACGTGTTACATACAAAACCTAATTAATTAATCAAATACACAACACATTTATATGTCTTTCATGTATAATATGTACCCTAGTACAAATGCTCGATTTATTATATAATATTTCATATACGAGTATCAACAGGCTCCATATCACCTCCAAATATAAAAATTCTTTTTTATATTAGCATTATTGCATAGAGAATAATCTCCAAATTAGATATTAATGGGTTTTTGGAACCCTTTACAAAATGCGTGATTACGCCTAGAGCATCCACTAAACCTCGATGCGAATGTGCCTTAGTTATAATAAGAGTAATCTTGAAAACCCTCCAATAAATACTATATATAGCATTTAGAGAACAAACAAAGTCATGTGCCCTAGAAATTTAAAAAATGTAATGTAATGGTGAATAAAGAAATACATGTCCCCTCATAACTATGTGTCCTGTTGCTTCATAGGAGTATATACTATTATGCACTTTAGAATATAACATGAACTACATCACTTTTTTATTTTTTTATTTTTTTTATTATTAAAAATGTTTTTATTTATTTCTTGTTAGGGAATTTATTCAATCAAAAGTTTAAGTTATCCCATAGTAATTTTTGTAAGGTTAATCCTCTTGAAGTTGTTTATATTGATTGATTTGTATATTTCACTTGAAATGGAGGAGTGGATGAGATTTAAAATTTTTGTTTGTCACATTGATACTTCATACCATGTTAGCATATCAACATAATCAAAAGCTTAACTTGATAATTAAATATATTTAAGATTGACTTATATACTCTATAATTTTTGTCATTAATAATCCAAGAAGAAAAAGAAAAAGAAAAAGGAAAAAAAAAAAACTTCAATCCAAGAAAAACCTATCTTTTGATTTAACTATTAATGGCAAGATGATATACTGATAGTAATTCTAACTTAAATATATTCGTATAAGTTCCTTTCTATATGGTATCACTACTTTGTTGAAAATCAATTAAATTTAGTAATATGCTCGACATATCTTCATAGGGTCATAAGTGAAAAATTTACATTTAACTAAATCATAATTAATTTAGAAAAAAGGAAACTAAATCAAATTGGATAAGATGAACCAAACATAGCGTAAACAGTAAACACCAAACCCTGTATAAACCTCAGAATTGGATCACAATCATTAACTAGAAAAGCTACCCTTTAGTTATGTGGGGGATACTACACATTGCACAAGCTGTTTGGATAACTAAAGATAGGCATGATATTTGGTTAAAGATTGACTCCAAAAAATGACACACACATTAGGCAAATGGGCAATTTCCCAGCATCAAATCATCTCAAAATGCAGAGAAACCCAAACAAAGCCTAATAATAAGGATGAACAAGCAGTGATTCTCCCTCTTTCCACACCATTTTCCAGAAGAAGATGTGCAATTCTAACTCCATTGCTGTCAATTACCCTCATTTCATTGCCTCCTCCTTCCTTTGCAAGAGAGAGAAGGAGCAGAAAAACCATCCCTCTTGAAGATTATCTTACTAGCTGTTAGTTTACTTCTTTAATTCTTGATTTCTTTCTATTATAATGCTGCATGATGATATTTTTAGCTGTTTTTGGCACTATTTTGCTGATTTTCTCATGTGGGTATGATTGAATTTTAAGTGGGAATGAATAATTGATTGAATTTGATGTATCTTATGCAATGTCAATTTGTTCTTTTGTTGATTTTGCACATGTGGTTCTTATAAAGTTGCAAACTTTTGCTTTCCTGGTGGGTTATTGTCTGTAATTTTGTGTCAAAGTTAGGTTATCCTGATAATTGATGTTTTTGAGGTTTGAGTCAAAATTATATGTATTTCGGATAATTTTTTTTTTATTGTTCATAAGGTTGTTGGCTATGATATTGGATTTCTATTTCATAAAATTGGACCTCCTTGAAGCAATGAAACCTCCATTTGTAGGATATATACTTGCTTGTTGATTCGTTGTTAGTTTTGTTTCTGCTGCTGATGCTTGTAAGAGAGCTGTTAGACTCGAGTCTAATCAATTATTTTTAACATCATGCTCATTGCAATTCCGTGTGGCTCAAAAATTCTGAAAAATGTTGATTGGATAACTCCCTTTAGTAACTACTTGAAGCCCGTAAATGGCTATTTGCAAACCCTCAATTAGTGGCCAATGTAATTTCGATCCAATTTAAGTGCATAGGCATGACAACATTTTACTCCTAAACTCTGGTTGAGAGATGAGGACATAAGTGCAGCAGCAACACTACAATGTTTTCAATTTCAGTACTTTTCTAGAATTAAGCAGCACAACTATTCTTTTTTATTCCCTTTTCTCCTTCATTGGTGTGTTGTAACTCTTGTAAGAGAAGAGGCAGGGAAGAGGGCCATCAGAGTCAAAAAGTGAAACAAAAATAGAGATTTGGAAAATGATTGCATTAAATCATCTAGGATTTGTTGCTATTTTAAAGAATTGGCTTTTCATCAAGATAATACTGTAGGATCTACCAGTATTACTTCCTTCTAGACTGCTTTGTTTTGTCAATTAAAGTCTCTTTCTTGGTCGAGATATAGTTTTTGCCTCACCCCATCCCCCCCCCCCCCCACCCTCTTGACTCTTGTTCCTCTTCCTAGCATTTCTGTAAGCTCACCTAAAAACCTGTGTGAATTTGGAAGCAGCTGATGGATTAAAGTACTACGATATTGATGAAGGGAGGGGACCAGTGGCTGTAAAGGGATCGATAGTTCAGGTGTGCTTTACTTTTGATTTTTTGTGCCTCTTCTTGAATTATTTCAAATAACTTACTCTGGGGCTATGGTTTACAGGTTCATTTTGATTGTGTATATCGCGGAATAACAGCTGTCTCAAGTCGAGAATCTAAGCTTTTGGCTGGAAACCGGATCATCGCACAGGTTTTTATGTTTTTTGCCCATCTCTTTCCTTTTATTGTCACTTCAGTAATTGGTGTTTTATAATTGGCATATTGAAGATAGTAATTTTGGACTATTGCCCAGCTGTCTGCAGACATAGGTTTATGTTTTCTTGTTTGTTGTATCTTCTATAGATGCTTATGCTTTATTGTCAATTCACTCACATGGTCAAATGTTCAAGATAACTAACCTTTCCTGCCTCTGCCCTTTTACAACTTCCAAGTATCAGTGTAGTGTGTTGTCTGCAGTGCAATACTCAGCTTCTGCATTTCTTCCTTCACATTTTGCAGCCATATGTATTCCAAGTTGGCTCTACTCCTGGAAGAGAACGGAAGCGCGAGTTTGTTGATAACCCAAATGGATTATTTTCTGCCCAGGCAGCTCCTAAACCTCCTCCAGCTTTGTACAGTATTGTTGAAGGAATGAAACTGGGAGGCAAGGTGCAGTGTTCTTCCCTCTTCTTCTAAACCGCTTATTTCTTATATTAGTCTTGTTTGATAACCTTACATTCTCATCTATCTCTCTGATCTCTCTCTCCTCTCTCTTGGGTGTTTGGCTTCAAATGCAATAGAGGACTGTGATAGTTCCCCCAGAACTTGGATATGGGAAGAAAGGATCAAACGAGATTCCGGTAATTTCTGACAAGTACTTTTTATTTGATCAGCTTTGTTCAATTTTATTGCATGGTTCATTTGAAAATAAAAGCTGACGTTAGAGTTTATTATTAAAAGCATATCAAATTTTCATCTCACTTAGACTTCTCTTTCTTTGTCTTGTTGCATTTGCGATAATGGTGATCTTTGATTGAAAACATAGAAAACAGCTATGATTCACTTTCCATAACCCATCATATTGAACACACATAATGAACAAAAGAAACATCAGTCTGTTCGTCATTTAAAAGATTTATTAAAAGACAATATAGCATGAACTGAATTTCTTGGTCCGGTGTTTTGAAATTCTGACATTTATCTTCAATATGGGCTATGTTCATCCTTTTTGCCTTGTGACTGCAGCCTGGAGCAACATTTAATCTAAACGTTGAGCTCTTGAAAGTAATTCCACCAGAGAAAAGCAGTTAACAGATGTTATTCCCTTTCTAATCGATCCCAAGGAGGATTAACAATTTTGCAATATGCTGATCAGTTTGCCAACAGCAAGCCATTATATGAAGCAAATGACTGTGTAGCCTGCTGCCCCTGGAAAACACAGCGCCGTGATTACCTGTGTACAAATACTTATACTCTTATTGTTACAATGTCACTCTTCACATTCTTCTTTATTTTTTCAACTCCTCTATCTCATTTTTCCTTATGTAGAGGCTTTCCTAACTAAGAGAAAGTAATGTTAATACATGTATTGGTTACGATTGAATTTTGGCTGATTTGGAATATCACATCTTTGAAGATTCAGAGAAGGGAAACCTTCAATGTAGAAAGGTAGTGCAGAGGTTAATGTTATCGAGAGGTTTGCAATTACAACTGCAAGGAAGGTTATTTGAAGTCTTTGGTTTCTTAAACTGTAGATGGAATTAGAAAGTACATTAATACAAAACTACAAGTCTACGGCAGAGGAGAGTGTAAGCATTAATCTTCTTTGAAAGAGGATACCACTATTTTTCCTGCAAAACTAGGGCTTGTTAATAACCTCTTCTTAGTAAATACTACATATCATTAGTAGCAAGATTTGGATCCCTATAGCTACAAAACTTACTACATAACCCTACGTAATTTAAGGAAGAAATTTTAGAAAATAAACAGGCGAATTATTTAAAATGATCTAAACTCTAGTAAAGGTACGAGTTGTGTTAGGTTTACCTTCTCGAATCCCTTCTTTAAACTATGTGCCAATGATGATGTTGCGATTGTAAGAACATTGAGGTGGAATATCATATTGTGCGTAGTCTCATAAAAATTTAGCGCCTGTGCATGTAGTTACCAAATAACAAGTTGTAATGGGTTTATACTCACTCATTAGTAATTGTGACTTGATGTTGGAACCATGGTTGCAATTTGCAAAGGATCTTTTTCCCCCCATATTATCTTTTGTAAAAGGCTTTCTCCAAACGTATGAACAAACAAGAGATCTAAAATGCACCATTTGAGGGTATTTTCAGGATCCAATAGACAAAATAAGCAAAGATGCTTGTTTTTGGGATAAAGGGGTCATGTTATTTCAACATCTTAAACTTTAGTCTATGTTACACTGATTGCTTTCCACGAACTTATATAGCAATTATGCGTGTATGCATCAATATCATTATCAAATATCAATGTTGGTGTCGTGGTATGCTGATCTCTTGCCTTTTATAGGCTTGTAGATATTTTGAATAAACGTACAGAGTACTTAGTATTAGCCAACTAACTTAGCATATATCATGTTGTCATTAAAACTTTTTCCTTCAAAACTATAAATGATGTCATTATTTTATGATTTTTTATTTTTTTTATTAAAATTCTGACCAACTATATTATTATTATTATTAGTATCGATTTCGAAAAACAATCTATTCTCTTTAACAACAATAATTAAATTTTTCTCCTCGTTCACTTTTCTTATAAGCTCTTATTCTTTTTTAAAAAATATTTGATGTATTATTAGTTTTGGGATTTTTTTATAATGGTATGAAAAAATAAACAAATTTAGAAATTATTTGTTCAAATCGTGCATTGCACATCAAGACTAATCTAGTTTAACATTATTTTTTGTAAACAACAACAATAACAACATACATCTTTTCTAAAAATTTTGTTACAAAATTACTATATACTCTATACAAAATATACTGTATTGAACATTTGAAGGTAAGTATAAAATACTACATATGAAGTACTATCATATTTAAATATATAAAATAAATATACTCCGTATGATGTACAAAGTAACAAATATAGAATATATTTTATACAATAAAAGATATGAAAATGATTGATTTGAATATTTTTTTAAGAAAGTGAATCACAATTATATAATTTGGTGAATTAAGGAAGTGAATTACATTTATAAAGAAAGTGAATAAAAAAAAAAGTTTTGGAGGGATATAACAGCACTAAGAAATGACACGTGTCATTCTTGAAGTCTGTTTTATTATTATGTTATTATTGATTTTCCGAATACTTGATTAGAGGTGTCTATTGTAAAATGATGACTTTGTATAATTGTTTAATACGTATGGAGTAACTCCTATCATTTATGTATGGGGGAAGTATATTACTCCATACCTGTATTGGTGTGCTAATTGAAAAGAAGGTACAAGTTTATCACCATGATAAAAAAAAATAGAAAATGCAAATCAAGTGATAAGCTTATACTCCGTAAGGAGGCCGCCCCAATTTCTCAACATGAGAAAAAAAAATTGTTTCTCGAGAAGTTAAATTTGTAAAATTACTGGCAAAATCGCTACTTCAAGTAGCGGTTTATGGGTAGTAGTGGTTTTGCCGATGAATAGTAAAAAAAAAACATTTATTTACGAGAATTACGACTTTGTTATTTGAGAAATATAGTTTGTTTCTCATGTTGAAAAACTTGGAATTTCTCCTCGATAATATCTCATATTTGTTGATTTATTACGAAAAATAATTATGCCTAGTTGATTATTCTTATTGACTTAATTACAAAATTGTCACTTCATTTATATTTTTTGTAAATCGAGACTTTGCTTCTACTTGTGCCTATGATCTACTCCATTAAATTCACTCTAAAATCTTACAAGCGTTCTTTCTCAAAAAAAAAAAAAACAAAAAAAAAACTTACAAGTGTTCTTGAGTAAAAATGGCTGGTCCTTTTAAAAAAAACAAAAATAAAATAAAATAAAATAAAAGACCTAAAAATCTAATTCCAAAATTTCGATGTTGTTTGTGAATGTGAATGTTTTGGCTTCTCCCCTGCCAAAAATGGCGTCGTTATGCTCCCTCCGATTCCACTCTCTCTCTTCTCAGGTACCCCTCTCTCTTTCTCTCTCCTCTTTGATTCATAAAGATGTCGAATTTTATAGTCCTCATTGAAATTGAATTGCTTGCAATTTGTCCTGTTTGTTCAATTAGCATCGAATTTGTAGCAATGGCATTGGAATTGAGCTTAGAACTGAATTTGGATTTGATTGTGCCAATTTCAAGCTCAATCGTCCCTCAAATCATGGCGGAAAGCTTGTGTTAACTGCTTCTACTACCGATTCCACCGTTTCGACTCAGTCCGATTCTGGTCGAAGTGAGCGAAACGCGTTCAATTTGGGAAAATCTTTCCAGAAACTTCAACAAGCTGTTGCTTCTCTTCCTCCTGTTGTTGTCGTGGTCAGTTTCTGTTACAATTCTCTCTCTTTTTGCATATAATATGCTCACATATATATTAATTTGTGCTAAAATGTTGATGAGAATTTCTAAGAATTAAATCAGAGATTTTTTTTATTTTTATTTTTATTTTATGTTTTGGTATGGAACTTGGAATTAGGATAATTAATAGTCTGTAAATTGTTGCTAATAGTTTAGGAAAGAAGGAATTTTGCACTTGCTATGTAGTCTTAACCTCAAAATCTAGATATTAACCACTAACTTGTAATTGGGTGCTTGATAGCATGAACTTATTAGTGTCGAAGAGGATCGTTTATTTGTCGAGACGAATGCATCCTGGTTGGGTGGGGAGCTATTGTGCTCATAAATTATGATAGTTTCTTGTCAGTAATTGTAGCAAGGATTCGGAAATGATAAATGGTGTTTTGATTGCAATGTTAGTGGGTGGCTACTTTCAAAGCTGTTGATCTCTCTTGGAAAGTTTAAATTCGTGGCGAGGTTGGATGTTCTTGTTAATCTTGTCTAAAAATTTATTTCTACCTAAAGTCTCATGCTTCCCACAAAATGTCAATTGGGATTCGAGGTTGTGTCATTTCATGGAAACGATGATATTAATTCTCGATTTTTGAGAAATACCTTCAGCTTTTACAGGGGAAGAGATGTAGGAATGATTGTGTGTGATGCAATAACATAGTCTTTTATGCAAGTTTTCTTTTTGGAAAGTGTAACTCTTGAATCCAGGCGCATTAATTCCCCCATTATACATGGTATGAGGTTGATTTAGGGCGAGAAACATTGATGTGAAGGGAAAAGGAAATGGAATTTTACAAGTCCGGTCATTTCTGTAGAATTATCTAGCAATCATTATGTAGATTTAGATGTGTTAAACTTTTGTACTCCTAGCTCGTAATGTATGTTATATGAGTTATGGTGCTTGCCTTAGCTTTTAATGTGAGTGGATGTGTAATCACCTATTATTGCCATCTTGAATTGAACTTATCAAATTCCATCGGTGATATTCTATTCATGTACGACAACATGCTCTTCATTTAAGGACATTAAGGTGACATAAGATTTTTGCATTGCTGCATTAAATTTTGATCTTTCAGCATTTAACCTGATGATTCTTTGTTTTGGTGCTTATCAGATCAATAAACATTCTGGAGCAAATTTAATACTTGGATTTTTTATTGCAACTACATGCCTGATTATTGCTGTGAGAATTTATGTGGCAAGACAGTTGAGGGACACTAGTCCTGGCTCTGTGGCTGATCTTGTTAGACGTGGCCAGCTCAGATCTGATAGAAGAGGCATGTATGAGTCTGATCCCTACTATTTAGCCTTTGTTACCTCCATAAGCTAGCACTGAATGTGTTTTCATGCTTTCTGTGCCTACTCTTTGTAAATCTTAATATCTTGATATTGTTTTTTTTTCTTTTGACAATTAAGTTTCCATAAAGTGAATTACTTGTGATTTATAAATAAATATATGACCCTTGTTAGATGCAACTTAGAAAATATCTATGTATTATTAATTTTTTTATAGTTATTAGGTTTGATGCTAGAAGTCATTTGGCCTATTATATATGAATGGAGGGAATGTTGCAATGACTTAACAGTGCAAGTGATGCATGTAATTGATGTATGTTTCCTTGCAATGTATTTTTACAGCTCCAAACCTCTCAAATATGAAGACCCATTCAATAATCCTCTGGTCAAAGTAAGCAACAGTAATACTTCAGTAGAGATGTGTGGAACGGTTTATCGGTTGGCCCCTGTAACTCTAACAGAAGAACAGCGAGCAATCCATCAGAAAAGGAGATCAAGAGCATATCAGTGGAAGCGCCCTAAGGTGTTTCTTAAGGAAGGGGATGCAATTCCACCTGATGTTGACCCTGATACAGTCAGGTGGATTCCAGCAAATCATCCTTTTGCAACTACTGTTAGCGATATAGATGAAGACCTTGCACAAAACAATGTGTATCAAAAGCATGGAGTTCCATTTCGCATCCAGGCTGAGCACGAGGCGTTGCAGAAGAAGCTGGAGGCCTTGCAGGGTGTAAGTTCTTGTCACATTTATTTGGCAGAGTAGAAAACCAAATTTGTAGCAGTCATAAATTCGTTTGTGAATATAACAGAGCTCTCTGTTACTCATCTAGCAATTATGCCACTGTGTCAGTGTCCCACTTCTTAGGTATGTTTTTGTGACTTGGTTGATACGTCATAGATGTATCAGGGTGTATCCAAGGGTTGGAATCTGGATACAGGTACCTTGATGTGGATGAAGAATCTGAGTAGCATTCCCGTTTGTAAAGATTACCACAGAAAGCTAACTAATATGTGAAACTATACCTTTTATAAAGCTTAGACTAACTGATCTAATGCCTAAAGATCTGATGAAGTGCAAGGAGCCTAAGCTTTGCTATTTTATAACCTGGAATATGCCTGACAGTTTGACCTGGATAATACTGTAGCCCTGGTTGACCTACATTGATCTCCATGATGTCAAAAATGACATCTGATAACCATTAAACATTTTGATAAGTTAGAATTCTACTTTACAAGGCTATGGTTAGTGTAATTAATTTATTCCCTTTGCTTCTTTTGGCTCAAGAATAGTTTTACTTCTGAAATTATTTCAAAAGTAAACATGGCAGTTGTCAGTTGTCAAGAGAGAGGGATTGTTCATGTTCTGATACCATTATATTGTTTCCTCGTAGTTGATTACTTAATTGCTGTAGTCTAGTCTATTTACTTTGATCTTTTGCAGTAGAAATTTTCTGTTGAATAGTTGAACTTGTTCCAATAGACAATACAAGCCACTCGATGTTTACGTGCACAATTGTTTTGCCTATACTGAGTATTATCGTAAACTTTGTTATATTAATGCTGATGCTCTGGCAGTCTGGTGTATCAAATTGCCCTCTTCAATTTATCATTCTTTTGCTATTGGTTGCCAAAATATGCCTTTTCTGTTTGTTCAGAATTCTAAAATAAGGTACGACACATTTTGCAGGAGCAAAAATTCAACAAGTTAGTTATTGATCCTGTGAATGCCAAAGATTTTGAAAGGGCCTTCAGGACTCAGTCAAAATCACATGATCGTGCAGAGAGCGGGACTCAAAATGGCCAACTGAATGAGTCTAAACCTCCCAAATCAGATCCTCTTCCCGAGAATTCAGACAGCAATGCAGCTTCTCCCAAAGATGAAGTCTGAGTATGACAGGCGCTATTAGCAGCTCGCCAATTCTATTCCAGACCAAGTGTTTTATTCTATTGCAAAATTTTGCATGTCAGAGTTGAAGCATTTTATAGTTCATACAGCAGTGTACATAAATACTCATTTAAGTTAAAAAAAATTAGTGGCCATTATTCAAAATCGATACTCTTAAATCTTCCCCCACGCTCCGTCGCTCCCTCCTTGAAGTAGCAATGTCTACAGTTGTCGTGACTTGCGATCACACTTGATTTCCTGTAAGCATATTGAAGTTTATACTTCAACTTAATTTGACGAGTGAGAGCCTGATGTTGAGCAATGAGATAATAGTGAGGACTTCTAGGCCGGATCTCTTTGTTAGCACTTGTCACCTGATGATATCCTTCACCACTGTAAGGCGATGGATGCAAGACTGCAGGAGATCCAGCAGCAAAGAGGGATGAATGAACCCCAACTTAACATCAATACGACAACTGAACTTTATTAACTCTGGATCTGCTCACAAGGTTGCTTCCCTTGGCCACACCATCGTCATATCGAGTTTCGACCAATCTCTCCAAACTGGGTTTTTTTTTTTTTAATACCATAAAGCCTCCCTTGTTTCAAGCTATCAACTTGAGGTGCTCAGTATTCTAGCGATTGGTGCATTGCAAAAAAAAATCCCTGAATCTTGGATAGTTTGCTTCACTGTAGAAAAACCATATAACTTCTAAAGTTCCTAACATTTTACATGTTTTAGTATTTCAGACAATCTTAAAAACTCTTGAGGAATGTCAAAGAAGCATGGTCGTGACCCATGGTTACTGGTTGACCCAACAGGGTTATGTCTATAATTATCAGTGGCTACATAATATTTACATGTTCACAACTTAACCTTAGTGTGATGAAATCTGATTATTATTAATAATATAAGTACGACCATACGGAAGGGTTATCATTCCCTAATACCACATACAACCACAATTACAACCACTAATACTATGTAAGGTACTACAATATGGTGCAAATAAATGGGAAAGGATGAAATTATTATGATCATTATGTAAAATTTTGAAGGAGAATACAAAATTGATAAACAGAAAAGCTTTCATTGTCTATATTAACTGTATTTGAATCGAAATTAGTTCCATCACGCAATCATTAATGTCTACAAGAAAATGACTTCTCTGGTCAATTGTTTGCTCACATATGATCAGTTCTTTCTACTCAGTCAGCAGCTTTCAATTGAGATACAACTGTAAAGAACTCTGTGATAACTTCTAGAGGCATACCCTTTGTTTCTGGGACCTTCAGGTAGACAAACACCAAAGAGATGGCACAAACAACAGCATACAGAGCGAAGATGCCCCCCAAGCCGATAGAAGTAAGCATCACGGGCAAGCTGTAGGTGACAATAATATCGCATATCCAGAAAACTAGGGCACAGATTGCAATACAAACACCACGGACTCGAGTTGGGAAGATCTCAGAACATAATATGTTCGGTATGGGTCCATAACCCATGACGAATGTGCAGAAGTATACAATAACACAAATGGTTGAGATAACAGCATGAATCACGTTGCCCATGCTAACAAAGCAGCTAATTACTAGGATGACCAATGATGCTATCAACACGGGAATTGTAGCAAGCAGCAGTGACCTGAAAAATAAAAACCCAGATATTACAAATTTACAGTCAATATAGACAAAATGGGAGCATATACTAATGCTATCTAGATTAATACATACAAAGGCACATAAAGCCTGAACTGATTTATGTTACTTATCGTTGATCATATAAAAAGCATCTTAAAGTGAAAATCAAGTGCCAAATTAGTACTCCCTTGTGGGTAGGGCAATTTAGGGCCCAAAAGGAAAATAATTTTTAAAAAAGACTAGGGCAGATCATGGGTAAAGTAAAACGTTATCTTTGATCTGGGATATCCATATTAGGTAAATATTAAACGTAAAGCTGGGACGGAGGTAGTATAATAGTAATAGGATAGATAAGTGAGGTTAGTCACAGGATGTATGATTTAGGTGACAAAAAGTTGCATACCTTCTACCAGAGATATCCATAAGCCTCATAGCAACGGCAATACAAGGAAGCATCAAGAAGGTTGTCAGTGCACTGATAAGGAATGAGGCAGATGTAGAGCTGATCCCTAGATCAGATAGAAGAACTCCCACTCCTGCCTCCTCAAGAATTTGTGGGGTGTAATATAGTACACCATTTATACCAGCGAACTGCACAATCAAAGAACAGTAAGAAAACTCTGTATAAATGCATGATTATTCAAAGTAGACAGGATCTGGAGTGACTAATAGCACAAAAGCGAATGCTCCATTTGAGTTGCAGAAAAATGACTGACAAAATAAATAAGTTTTTAATTTTTATCAAATGCAGCTTTTTATGTAGCTATTCACATACAGTGAAAACAAATCATCTGCTATCAACAGCATAATTAGTGCATTGTCTCCATAAAACTCTTTCCATAACCGCCGATGAAAGCAATGCTAAGAGATATAGTTGTCTATAATTTTCTAGAGTTGCTTCTTATATGTATACAAAATCCAAGATCAACAAAGCCAATAGTTACAATTATTTCCCAATTTGACGGACACTGTTGAAAAGGTTCGCATTTAATTTTATTTATAATAATAAATACTCTTTTAATCTACCCTGAGTGTTACTCAGATTACTCACCACAATTACTACTAATTATATTGAAGATTTCCAATCTGAACATATTTAGTTTATTATTCCCACAAAAGATAAAACACTATTATACAATATAATTATAATAGGCTACAATATAATAGCTCATCAAATTGTTCATGGTTCTTATTTATTGTGAAGTAGCAAAAGATTGTTTCTTGTTATATCAGGTCATCAGAAACAGCTTCTTCTTAATCATAGGGGTAATCTGAATACCCTGCTAAGGCGGGAGAATCCATCACGTACTTTTTTAAAAATGTAAAATAAAAAGATGGTTGATCAATGAATATAAGTTCAATGGAACCAATATATCTGTATCAGAGGGGTAAGGCAGCATACATTTTTGAACCCCCTAACCCCGTTCTGTCAGATTCCTGTAGCAGTCTTGGGGTGATGTCTGTATTGTTATCTATTTTAATGGTTGAGGGGTAGGGCACTAACCACTAACCACTGACTAGTGAAACTATATTAAAGGGACCAAATATGAAAACCTTTTCAAGCAGCCAATATAGAAACTGTGATGTTCATAGTCAGATAGTGTATAGGATTTATTACCTGCTGTAGCATTTGAATACCAATTCCAACAACTAATGCCCTCTTGACTCCTGGTTCAAGTAGAGCCTTCCAGCTAGGTCCTTGAGAAGAAATTTCAGTTGGATGGACCATTGCAGGACCTACAGGAAATTGATCCAAAAGCTCCTTGGAATTCAGTGCAGGATTATTTACAAGCCCTGATGCCTGGACACAGTCTTCCTCTCCCTCGAAAATACCACCAGGAAGTGAAAGAAGAGACCCACGCATAGAAGCAATCCCTCCATCTTGATGCAGATAAACCCTTTTAAACTCTTTTTCTTTCTGTCCATCTTCGCCTTCTCTACCCTCTAATGTCCATGCCAACTGCCAACCCCCTCCAATATCTGTAGATGATACATCTTCTCCTGCACCTTGCCAGATGTTTCCACCCAAGTCAATAACAGTACCATGAGAGACTGGAGGAATACCGTCATCCTCCTTATAAATGCTTGTTTGGTGTGTAATCAATGGAGCATGCAAATCATCAAAATCCTCCCCTTCTGCTGGCTCAGCTGTTGGTTCGTAATCATCTTCCCCATCTTGGTTTTCTTCGTCCCACTGATCTCTGTGAGCATCAACATCTGCAGTGCTAACCATGCTTCCAAAATTATGGATACTTCTCATACTTCCTTGTTCAGGGAACTTTTCGTGGAAACTTCCAAAGAGAGTCACAAGAGGGTCAACAAAACTTTGGTTCACCATGCTTCCATGACGGGACCTAAGGCCAAGAGTACTCTGTCCAGTGGCAGGTTTTGCAATCCAAGAAACGCCTTCTGTTGCTCCATATAACTTTTTCTTGTCTTTCTTGGTAGCTATTTCTGTTTCCTCTGATGGTTCTAAAGTGTACTCTTCTACAGAAGTTTCACACCCAACACCAAGGCCTTCAACGAGCAAAGCCAATTCACCTGTGAAAACGACCAATTGCATTAAAAACAGTTTCACCAGCAACAGCTGCTTAATCAAGTCATACATTTAAGCTATCGGCATCAAGTTTACCCCAATGCCTTTTAAGAGCTTTCTTCCTTATCATTATAATAACAGAAACCATATCTTAATCAAAAGGGTAACAACTTTCTGCTACCCTACAATGAATAGTATTTTCAGGCATTTTAATGAGCCATGTTGATTAGTCCATCGTTATCCAAAACCAATGAAGAGCAAATACTGGACTCCATTGGAAATGGACATAATATATGAACCCTCTTATTAAATAAAAAAAATTCCATGTACTACAGCTGCATCCAGAGCAAATCAACTCAACTTATAAGGTCACTGTAATTTTGGGTGAAGAAAATTATTATTGAGAAGCATTTTAAAGACGATCATATCCATCATTGAGACATTTACCAAAGACAATGCCTCCAAAGAGAATCCCACTGAAAGCATGACATAGTAAGATATATGTGACGAAAATTGGAAAAAGTATAATCCTATAGGAAAGTAAACTCTAATTATAGCAGTAGAATTAGTGAACATACGCTCTTTGGAAAGTATTAATGCTAGATACGTTATGTACAAACAATTCCTATCCTGTTAACAGACTCAAATGCTCTCAAAACTCCAAGACATTTATTACTCAGGGGATCAACATTAAAAACCAGCATATTAAATACAAGTTACTTATATAGACGGTCAACGAATCATCATTAGAACAGGTGATTTTGATGGTTGGAAACCTAAATTGTAAGTAAATCCTCCCATAAAACTCACTTATTAATTAAATTGATTAAAAGTCCTAGGATAAGTCCATTTATTAAATGCCAGATTCTTGCTGTGTTCTGTTTCTATCAACTACTATCAGAAATCTTAATCATGTTAGCGAGAAAATTTAAGCAGGATAGTATCGAAAATCTAAGTGCATGCCCAAGGAAGTAACAGACACTATGAG